CTTTGACGCTTACCTTCATTCCTTCTCTGATAATATATTTTCCAGGATTTTTGTTTATTTTTGTTAACGTTTAAAACATCTGTGTGGCATGTAAACTAAGGGGAAGATAAAATTTCTTTCTACTTGTGATACTGTGATACTATAGGTTTAATTCAACAGGTTGGTAGAATGTTTGTTTGTTTGTTTTTTTTTTGGTTTTTCGAGACAGGGTTTCTCTGTGTAGCTTTGTGCCTTAGAACGTTTGTTGTAAGACGTAATGTAACCTATTAACTTTGTGGTCTGAAGTGTTTAGCTGTTCAGAAGCTGGATTCCTTAGTAGACCAAATAATTTGTCACTTGGGAGTATTCTGAGATTTAGCTTCATGTTTAAAAGGAAAAAAATTAAGATGGCTTAAGTTTCATCTTAAAAGTTTTCATCCCCTGTAGTCATTCTGCATGTTGTAGTCTTAGAAGAACACAAGCTAAAACAGAAGAATTCCCCATGTGGCTTGTTTTCCAAAGTACCGAGAACAAAACCCTACGCTTCCCTAGGTCTTGTAACCCTTCAAGTCTGAATGGAAATATAGTGCTTGGTCATATTCTACTTTAAAAGGTAAATACAGATGAGATTAAAAAAAAAATGTAAGACTAATGTCCTTACTTCATGGAATTAACACTTTGGTAAAGGACAGATAAGTTTATTTACACTAAGGAGTCACAACTCTATGTAATGTTGAACCAGAGTATAGTGAGTAACAGATGGTGTCTAAGTTATAGAGTATTTTACTTAGGTAGTTGATAAGAAAATAGAGAAAAAGATCTAAAAGTTAGACTTGTGAGGCATGATCTAAGAAATCAGAAGGAGGACCCAGCATAGGAAGAGGTGTTCCGACTTAAGAATCAAGGAGAAGTGAAATAAGTTTTCATATTGAAGAACTCAGCTCCGGGTGGTGGTGCATGCCTCTAATCCTATCACTTGGGAGGCAGAGCCAAGTGGATCTCTGTGAGTTCAAGGCCAGCCTGGTCTACAGAGTGAGTTCCAGGAAAGGCACAAAGCTACACAGAGAAACCCTGTCTCAAAAAAACCCAAAACCCCAAAACCAAAAACCAAACCAAACCTATCCAAAACAAAAAAACCCTCAGGTTCTTTTTTTTTTTTTTTCAAATGGGGACTACAGTCTGAGTACAGCTAGACACTTTAGAGATGACATACAACATACATATTTCCCCAGGGTGGAGGTGGACAGGTGTTTCCTTGTATTTATTATGGTTTTGAAAAGGATAGCACATGTTGTTCAGTTAAGACCTCAATTACTGGTATCTGTTTTGTGTGGAAGTGGAAAGGAAGAAATTTCATGTTTGAAAAACTCACAATCCATGACCACTCCTGAAGTAGTAATTCTAAACAAACTAAGATGCAAATTCATGGCCATAAGGGAAGCTTCAGGTTAGGAAGCTGTCCATTGGACTTCTCTCATAATCTGGAAAGAAGATGTTCTAGAAATTATTGCCCATTTTAGACCAGAATAAAGAGAATGCCAGAAAGAAAAGGTCACAATTGTCATATATCAAAGAAAATATGAGAATAGAACAGTGTAAAAAAATGTAACCATTATCTGAGTGGAAAAGTATGCCTAGCAATGAATCGATATTTTTATTTATTTATTTATTTATTTATTTATTTATTTATTTATTTGTTTGTTTGTTTGTTTGTTTTTCAAGACAGGGTTTCGCTGTGTATCTTTTATTTATTTATTTATTTATTTATTTATTTATTTATTTATTGGTTTTTCAAGACAGAGTTTCGCTGTGTATCTTTGTAGTCTATCCTGAAACTGTCTTTTTAGACCAGGCTGACCTCAAAATCACAGAGATCCTCCTGCCTCTGCCTCCCAAGTGCTGGAATTAAAGGAGTGCGCCCCCACCACCCACCCAGCTTAATATTTTAACAAAATATTTCTTCACAAAAATAAAATAAAGTGAGAAAAAATATGTTAACCTATTAGTGTGTTTCAGTATGTTATATCTAAAGTTTAAAAATTAATACTTAATATGATCTTAAAACACTATGCTAGTAAGATAGGAAAAATTCCTTAACATGAACATGAGAATTCCATTAGAAAACCTGAAGTGTAATTCACTGAAATGATTTTTTTTTTTTTGGTCCTTTTAGGCTTCTACAATGTGGATGGCAACCTCACTGAACACCAAGAAACATACTCAGGGAGCAAATCTTGTAAATGCCTTGAAAGTAAAAAAACCTTTACTAGCCAATCAGACCTTAAAGTTCATCCGGGGACACATAACCAGAGAAAAGCCCATGTATGTATTCAGTGTGAGAAACTCTTTAGCACTAAATCTTCCCTTACTAGTCATCAGAGAATTCACACAGGAGAAAAACCCTATGGATGTAGTAAATGTGATAAAACCTTCAGGCAAAAGTCAGCCCTCATTGTACATGAAAGAACTCATACTGGCGAGAAACCCTTTGAATGTTACGAGTGTGGTAAAGCCTTCCAACATAACTGGTATCTCAAAATGCATCAGAGAACTCACACAGGTGAAAAACCATATGAATGTAAAGAATGTGGAAGAGCATTTCTAAAGAAGTCATACCTCAAAATGCATCAGGGAACTCACAAGAGTGATAAACCATATGAATGTGAAGAATGTGGAAAAACCTTCCATAACAGGTCTTATTTCAACATGCACCATAGAACTCACACCGGTGAGAAACCCTATGCATGCAATGAGTGTGGGAAAGCCTTTTACCAAAAGTCAGACCTCAGGAGGCATCAGAGAATTCATAACAGTGAGAAATTACATGAATGTAAAGAATGTGGAAAATCCTTTCAAAATAAGTCATACCTCAAAACTCATCAGAAAGTTCACACAGGTGAGAAACCCTATGAATGTAAAGAGTGTGGAAAAGCCTTTCAAAACAAGTCATATCTCAACAAACATCAGATAATTCATACAGGTGAGAAACCCTATGAATGTAATAAGTGTGGGAAAACATTTCAGTGGAAGTTAGTCCTTAGTAAGCATTATAGAATTCACACAGGTGAAAAGCTCTATGAATGCATTCAGTGTGGGAAAATGTTTGGCTACAAATCATCTCTCATTGTACATGAGTTGATTCATTATGGGGAGAAACCCTATGAATGCAATATATGTAGAAAAACATTTTCACAGAAATCAAACCTAAGTAGGCATCAGAGAACTCACAGACATGGGGAAGTATGATGAGGATGGGTATAGAAAGACATTTATTTAAGCCTCAGAATGCTTCAAATACTCCAACCAAGAATTCCCTTGAGTGTGTGTAGTATAGGTGTTCTTTCAGTAAAACAGCTCTCAGTTAACATGGAGAACCCTCACAGGGTTGAGAAACATTAGGAACATATTGAATGTGAAGGAAAGTTTCACCAGAAATTGCCCTTAAAATGTTATAGGAAAACTCACACAAGAGGAAATTTTTATAAATGTAATACATATGGGAAAAGGTCCCACACTACAGGTCTAAACTTGGAATGCATCTAAGTATTTACATAGGAGAAAACATGAATGTAAAAGAATCTAGTAGTAAAATGTAAAAGAATCTAGTAGTTTTAAACCTGTTTTAAATATATCTAACTCATATTGGAGAAAACCTCAATGAAAGTCATAAATGTGGAAAATACATTTTATAACTGAGAAAAATCTATGAATAAAAGTTGAAAATCATTTTTGCATCATTCATGCCTTAATATGCATGAGAAAGTCTGCACTGGCAAAAGACTCTTGTAGAAATGTAATCATTAGAAAACTGTCTAAAAGTCACTCCTTGTAAATATGAAATAATCCTGTGAGTAAAATATCTGTGAATGGAATAATTATGGAATCTGTCCAGTAGAAATTTCCCCACAGCATGCATCAGAGAACTCAATTGAGAAAGAAATGCCTATAATGTTGAAAGCCCATTCATTAACCATACATCACACCTAAGCAAGTATCAGGAAGCACAATCAAGGAAAAGTCTTATAGTATTGAACAACATCAAGGATATTTAGAAATTAGGCATTGGCATATATCACAAACTGTGTATAATGGAATAATACTGGGTAGCAGAGTGGCTATGCCCCCAAAGACCATTTTCTTATATCTCTGGACCTAGCCTGCAATTCTCAGCCTCACTATGGTCATTACAAATTAAGTGAGTTTTGCTGGGAGACTGTGAATTCAGCTGATATGCAATATTTCTAGACTTGGCAACCCAAAGAATTGCAGACACTTTTTTCCAGTTTATGTCAAAGTGAAGTGAAGGTAACCCCCCCCCTTTATTTTGAGACAGGGTTTCTCTGTGTAGCTTTGGCACCTTTCCTGGAACTCAATCTGTAGCCCAGGCTGGCCTCAAACTCACAGAGATCCACCTGCTTCTGCCTCCCGGGTCCTGGGACTAAAGGCATGCACCAACACCGCCTGGCCCAAAGGACATTCTTACAAACACTGAGGAAAATTTATTGGGATTAAAGAATTGGTTGAAGAAAACAGAGATCTTTCACCTTTGTCTTTGTGCCCTATGCCTGGCACATTAGTATGAAATAAATATTTGTAATATTTAGTCTTCCCAAGTGTGATCTGTTCTCATTGTATTACTAACAGGTCACTCTTGATAATTCATTTTATGAATACAGAGAGTCTTTCTGAGAGATGTGAGTAGCCTTTTATCAGCATATTCATACAGAAGAGAAGCCTGCTTAATCATTCGTCATTTCCAGCTTAATTCTAGAAGAATCAATTGTGGAAAGATCACAATGAATCATTTTTGGGATTTTTTTTTTTTTTTTTTTATCATGCAGGGGTATCTCACTAAAGAAAAAATAGATCACTGTCAAATATTTCTATAGTATTTTCATTTTTCTTTTCTTCTTTTTTTTGTGTGTTTTTTTTTTTAGACAGTGTTTCTTTGTGTAGTTTTGGCACCTGTCCTGGAACTCACTTTGTAGAGCAGGCTGGACTTG